CTGTTCTTCTTTGCGTGCCCAATTTGTAAAACACAACAAAAAGGGCATTTTATCCACTGCCTCCGCATTATATGTTGTGAATGATGCTCAAACTGTCCATCTTACCAAGTTTTAACAGCCAAAAAGCCTTTTTGACATTGGTTTGAGACTGATTTACTAAACAAGAACTGATTGTGTAAGAATAATAATCTTGTTTTCAGAATGTGTAAGATTATTTGTCTTGTTAGCCTGAAAATTTGACTCAAATTAAGTCAAAAATTTCTGCCAATGGAGTAAAAAAATCTTACTTTGTAAGATTCTTGAAATAAGAAAAAATTGAGTCAAATCAAATAGTTCAAGAGTCTTACAAAGTAAAATTTTCTTACTCCATTGGCAGAAATTTTTGACTTAATTTGAGTCAAATTTTCAGGCTAACAAGACAAATAATCTTACACATTCTGAAAACAAGATTATTATTCTTACATAATCAGTTCTTATTTAGTAAATCAGTCTCAAAACAAGATCAAAAAGACATTTTGGCTGATATAAGGTTTTAAAACTTGGTAAAATGGACAGTTTTTGTAGTGTAGGATGCCTCTTYGACACCTCCCTGGTGAGGTGTTCCAGGCATGTCCCACTGGGAGGAGGCCCAGAGGAAGACCAGGGACCCGCTGGAGGTTTCTCAGCTGGTCTGGGAACACCTTGGGATTCCCCCAGAGGAGCTGGCCTAAGTGGCTGGGGAGAGGTAAGTCTGGGTCTCTCTGCTTAGGCTGCTGCCCCTGCGACCCGACTCCGGATAAGTGAAAGAAAACGGACGGACTAATGCACATTATTAGTTTAATTTTGGATTCAGGCTGATGTTTGCCATAACTGCAATTTTATCTTGGGAATATTTTGAACATCTATATATTTTAAATGAAATCTTTTTCCCCACTTTTGTAGACACAAAGTAGCTTACTATCATAAGTGTGCGAATGCGCAAAAATGGTAACCAGTTCTGGTTTCCAGGCAACAGTTAATTTGGTCACTCTTTATCATTAGATTCAGAGCTGGAGCGGAGACTGTGTTCATTCATAAGCCAAGCAGTCACGTGACGTGCTCAATAACTCATATCAAAAAACCAAGACATCTACCAGCAAGCAGGATTTTAAATAAAACACACCACACATTATTATTTTTTTACATTTTTATTCAACAACTGTAAACAAAATGAACAAAACAGAAGTACTCCTTTTTGAAATATTCAGCCTCAGTTCTGTCTTTGAAAGGACGACCTGTAATGAGCTGCTTGAAAATATCAGTAGCCGGATGCATTTATACAGCCATGTGCGATGCGTTAAGTGTGATGAGACATCTGCTTTTAGGGACCCAAAAAAAAAAAAAAAAGGAAGGAAGGACTTATGAAATCCCCTTCTCTTTCCTTCAAATCAGCCCCTTTTTGGGAAGCAAACTCCAACTGTCAACCGTCAGCAAACACAAACAGCAGAGTAGCACAAGGGCAAACACCTGTCCACGCTTGTACACAGACACCATGCGGGCAGGAGGTGGAGTGACTCACCTCTCAAACCTTACAGTGAACAGAAGCTGTTATGTTACTAACAAGCAGAGAAAAGGTCATTAATAGGGAAAAAGACATCTTTACTAATAGCAGAAAGTTTGGGGATGAGTCCAATTTTAACAGTTATGAACAGAGTTGTAAAGTAACTAAGTACAAACACCTCTTTACTGTACTTAAGTAGAAGTTTTGGGCATCTGTATTTTACTTGAGTAATTATTTTTCACCCTACTTTTTACTTCTCACATTTTCACACAATTATCTGTACTTTCTACTCCTTAAATTTTTTTTAAAAAAA